CCCTGGAAGGTCACACTTCCCAGATTGGTCCCCCTGCACACTTGGGAACGCAGGGCTGCTTTTCTTTGGGCCACACTGCAAGGCCGCGCGCGCCCTGGGTGCCGTGGCGGGCTCGGCTGCCCGTCGCGCTGGCTGCGCGCTCTCCCGGGGCATCTGGGCGCCAGGGCGGTGCGGGCTGCGGAACCCCAGTGCTGGGGTGTGTGCGGCCGAGAAGGCCTCCCAGGGTGCTTTGGATTTCTAGAGAATTGTAGTGCCTTGGGGCGTATGGCGGGGTCTGTTCGCCGGCTTCCTAGGAGGCCCTCGGTGGGCCTGGGGGGGGCGGCTAGAGGGCAGGGTTTGCTGGCTCAGGGGGTTGCAAGGAGTAAGGAAAGCCAGGGGCACCTCTACTTTAAGAAAATGGGCTGCTGATCGCCAGGTAGTCAACTTTTGGGGGGCCCCAGGGAGACAAGGTGTGCCAGGCCCAGGGAGGGGAGCGCTTCCTGCCGCGTGCGTCCCACGCCCACCCCTGACATTTGTTAAGGCTCGGCCCCTCCCCCCACTGGCCTCTGCACCCTGCCCTCACCCTGAACCCCCTCCCCCACCCCACTGGCCTCTGAAAAACTGGATTACGAATCAGTAAACGCCAGGCGCCTCTGTGCCCGGCTGCCCGGGATTGTCATTCTGCACCTTCGCTGGTTTGGTCCCCCTTACTCCTTATTTACACACACTACTTTTGTGTTTTTCTTTCCCGGTAATTCGAGATAGCAATTGGAAATAATGCACCCTCTGTTGCGCGGCCGTGGACTCGGTGCTAATGGCCGAGGCTCGCCGGGCGGGAGTCGATCCGATCTACAAGTGTTTTTCAGCATTATTATATTAACTGTCAGGCTCAGCTTGGTTTTTTTGGGCCCTGGCAAAATGACCAGGGCATTCTAGGCCGGTCATTTTTTAATGGCAAGGAAAGAGAAATGATTCTCCCCACACCCTGCCCTGCACCCCGGCTCCTGCAAGCTTGGAAGCCGGGAGACCACTCCTGCCCTATCTCCTGCTGCCCGGCCGGCTCCTCCGGCTGCAGGGTCCCGGCCGCGGGGCTACAGTTGTGGACGAAGCGCTGCCCGGCTATTCTGTGCTTCCCCTGGGAGCTTGGGGGGCACCTTAGACCGGGAGCTTTCCACTCAGCGTCAGAGGGATTGTGTACTAACATATCCAACCAAGCAACATTCCAAAGTAACCCTGAGAATTGCTCCCTGGGTTCTCCTCCCCCGTGCCCTGCAGGCTTGCCCATAATGTTTTAAAAACCCACTTAGCCATTTGAAGGGCCATCTAAATTTTGAGCCTCCATGGCAGGTTTGCTGGCTTTCCTGATAACCTTTCCAACTCCCGGTGACCACTTGCTCTCATGCCATACCATCTCCTAAAAGTTAAGCAGTTGTGTGTTGTTTTTTCTTTTTTTTTTTTCTCTCGGTAGTTAGGAAACCAGGGAAATTGTAAGAGGCCAAGAAATGATTTCTGGGTGAGAATAGGAAGGCTCTCAACCTCCCAGTACCCTTTGTGGGCATTACCAGGAATGGAGAGTGCCTCATCTTTTAATTGTGGACTTAGCGGGTGGCCTTGCGCAGTGACATCAGATGAGAGCCTCAGAAGACATTTCTGAACTCAGTGGGCAGTTTTGCTATTTGCATGTCAAGCATCTGCAGACATCTTGGTGGTGCCTCTTCCGCCTTCCTTTCTGTTACCTGGGCAAGATGCTGTGCTCCAGAATGAAAGTTATTTATTTAGAACTGCAAGCAGAGTGGCGGAAAGGAGGGCAGTTGCTGTGGTGTGTCACTTCTGACGTCTGCTATCAGAGGACCGGTTTGCACTTCCAGATTTGACACAGCTGCGGAAGGAATCTATAGCTAAGATAGCGGTCCTTCTGCTCATCCAAAATCCTTAGTTCTGCCGGAGCGCCGGAGCAAAAGGCAGAAAGTAGCAGGGTGCTTTTGTTCTTTCCCGATTCCTCTTCTTTCGTGTTTTGTTTTGGTTTTTTTTCCTCTACATTTTCTGTGATTTAGGAGTTTACCTATAAGCAACTGCCTCCTTTAAACAAACAGTTTGGAACCCTGATTTCTGCTTTTCTGTTGAAGAATGCAAAGAATTAAGGAGTATCATTAAATCGGCTTATGATGAATAATACATTATCTCAAGAAAAATTCTTTAATTGGTGACGACGCCATAAAGCCAGATAGTAATAATTTTATTTTAAAATGACAAAGATTTCTGCATGACATTAATTTAGCCTTTGATACAGTAATGGGAATGGCTTTTAAGAAGACAGAGTCGAGTACAAAAATGCATTAAGGAGAGGTGGAGTTAAGTAGATGGGAAAGGATAGCATGGGCAAATAGTGGGTTTGTGTGCTAAAAGATAAAAATAGGGTTACCATGTTAAAATTGATAGGACAAAATAGTTGGACATTTCTTTCCCTTGCCTGTTAGACCAGAAATAGGGAAGGGACTAGGGTGATAGGCATTCCAGTTAGGCTTGGCATTTCTTTTTAAACATTTGATTATCAGAGCTTTTGCGTCTTCTTTTACCCAAAGTTGTTTGCTTTCCAACTGAGCTACTTGCTCCTCGGTTGCACAAATAAATAAGTAGCATCTTGAATTAATTTTTGAACTTGGAATCCAGCATTTAAAGGAAATCAAGAGGGGCCTATTCATTGGGGTTTTATTTAGTCAGACAACTTCTCTTTCTAGCTTGTGAAAAATGGCTGTATGCGCCTGACTCAAACAACATAATCCTTTCCAATACAAAAGATGCAGACCTGGGGAGTGTGAAGGGTTAATGGTGGCCCTTCCCTCTTGTCCTCCCACCCCCTACCCTCACCCCCTGATTGTTTTGACAACACTTTTCAAAGTGTGACATTCCAAGTCTCTACGTAACAATGTAATATTACTGTAATTACACAGGTCATTACATTTTAAATAGAGAACAATAAAATGCTTATCGCCTTGAAAAAGAACAGGTGTTCCTGCCCTTCTTCGGTATTTATGCTAATTGTTTTTCATCTCCTTTGGAAATATTTATGGCGAACATGCTTAGATTTCAATCTCAAATGCAGCAGTATTAATTCCAGGCTAATCTTGATAGGTTGAGGTTTAATGTCTACATTGTGGGTTATGGGCACAACCTTCACCCCATAAGTCATATTTTAATGATTATAAATTTCACATGCCAGCGCCTTGCAGTTTGTTGACATTCAAGCCTTCGGAATCCCCAGAAACACTGTTTTGCATTCGGGAGCCTGAAGTGCATATCTAGGAGAAGTGTTTTTGAAAACTTTTGACGGCTCAGGGGAAGTAGCTCTGACTGATACCCTGTATCTCTGATGGTGAGAAGATTCCATGGAGGCCACTGTCCCGGGTCTTGCTCCGGAGTTTTCCCACCTCGATTTTACTGGTAGGGGTTTCATTTCCAGTCACTGCTGGAAGGCGGTCAGCTCTCTGCTTCCTTGCAAGCTGTGGAAAAGTTACAGGAATGCTTGCCGGGGGTTTGCAGAACAAGAGCGCGGTTCTGTTAGCAGCTCCGGATAACTGTAGTCGTGCACACCATTAAGAAAATATTTGCTTTAGAAAACTAGCGTTTTAACAGTTGCACCAGAGGCTGCGCTTTTAAAAATTACAGTAGACATTTTTCCAGGGTCTGAATGCCTCCTTACATCCCTATGAGGTGCTGGTGTACAAGCCAGAAGTGCCCAGATTTCTTGCTTGAGAAATCCTAGTGGAACTTCTGTTCCACACGTGCAGTAGGTAAACGAGAAGGTATCTAAGAGGATTTTACATTTTGTCAGATGTTTCACCACGGGGTCCCCCCGAATCACATTATAAATGCACTGAAGAGAAAGGACAGCTGCAAATTTTTGTGTGGACGGGTGTTTCTGGACCATGACTAAAACTCCGAGGACCTCTTCCCCAGCTCTCTGGAAGTTATGTGGAAGTTAGTTTATTGGCAGTTAAGTATGAGACAATCTGGATTTAGCAAATGCTTTATCCTACACAGGAAGTAGAGGACAGTATATTGGGGGAAGGGAAGGAGGGATTTACCTTTTTTTTTAATTAAAAAAAAGGAAAAAAACCAAACCATGGAGTTGCCAAATAAATAAGCACTTTCCAAGGAAGTAGGTGTAAGCTTTTTAGTCTTGGTAAGTGGGATTAGATAATATCTTCAAACCACATTTATAACTGCACTGAGGTGTCACATTCAAGAGGTTGGAGAAGGGGTGGGGTGAATCAGGTTCACAAGGCTTTGCCTTGGGAAGGGTGGTGGGATGTGGGCGTCTGGGTTTCTGCTGGGAGAGAATATTGTCAGTAAATCTTGAGCTCCAACTTATAATTGAGCAC